TCAACTATACTCCAATATAAAATTAAAAGTTAAAAAAAAAGACAATGACAGACACACAAGATCTAATTCCTTTTAACTTCCAACCAAAAGCTTTTAAGAAACCAGTTTACTTCAACTTACTATTGATTTACTGTTTTCCTGTAAATCTGAAATGCTGTTATTAACTCCCAAGTTCAGCATAAAGATGATAAATTACTGTTCAGCAAAAAAAAAAAAAACTCAAAAAAACAAAGTGGAGGCAATAGAGTATAGGCAAATCTAAACTCTATTTGTCGAACAGACAAAATCTGAATCTCAATCCTACCATCCACTACCTGTTTAATGAGGGGAAGTTAATTAACCTCCCTAATTTCAATTTCTTTACTTGTAAAATGAGTATTATAAGATTATCATCAAGGAAATGCAAATCAAAACCACAACAAAATAGCACTTCACACCCACTAGCATGGTTATAATAAAAAAGACAGGCAATAACAAGTGTTGGCAAGGATGTAGAGAAACTGGCACCTTCAAACACTGCTAGTGGTAATGTAAAATGGTGCAGTTGCTTTGGAAAAGTCTGGCAGCTCCTCAAATGATCAAACATGGAGTTACCATATGGTCTAGCAATTCCACTCCTAGGTATCTACCCAAGAAAAATAAAAACCTATGTCCACACAAAAAGTTGTATAGGAGTGTTCGTAACAGCATTATTCACAATAGCCAAAAAATTAAAATAACCCAAATGTTCAATGGATGAATGAAAAAATAAAACGTGGTATCTCCATACAGTGGAATATTATTTGGGAGTAGTTTCTTTTCAGAGTAATAAAAGGGTTCTAAAATTGATTGTGTTGTTGTGTACACAACTCTGCAAATATACTAAAAGCCATTGAGTTGTGTACTTTAAATGAGTAAAGCGTATGTATGAGAATTTTATCTCAATAAATCTATTTTAAAAAATAACCAGTAAACCTCAAAGCATTCCAGATTCAAAGAGTATGTGATCTGAAGCCAGACTGAGCATGCCCGTTGAATTGTTTCCAAATTTATGTATCAGAAAAGTCTTCACTCCTTCTCTGAAACTGTTTCCTCATCTGTAAAATGGGATGATAGTGCCTTCTGAATAGGATTGTTGTAAGAATTAAATTAGATAATTTAAAAATAAATAAATAAATAACCAGGGCTTCCCTGGTGGCACAGTGGTTGAGAGTCCGCCTGCCGATGCGGGGGACGGGGGTTTGTGCTCCGGTCTGGAAAGATCCCACATGCCGCAGAGTGGCTGGGCCCGTGAGCCATGGCCGCTGGGCCTGAGCCTCCGGAGCCTGTGCTCCGCAACGGGAGAGGCCACAGCAGTGAGAGGCCCGCGTACAGAAAAAAAATTAAAAAATAACCAGCCTCCCACTGCATGACCCTTGGCAAGTTATCTACCTTCTCTATGCCTCAGTTAACTCTTGGATAAAATGAGACCAATAATATTAGCTACCTCAAAGAGTTTCAGATAAAATCAAATGACTTAATATATGGCAAAGCACTTAAAATGGAGCTTGAACGTAAGACATGCTTAATAAACAGCACCATGAAGCAGGGGCTTTGTTGCCCATCTGGCTAGGGGCCGGAGAGCTTCAACCATTAGTCCAAGGCCACACAGCTGGAAATGGCAAAACAAAACTATTTCAAAGTTACTGTGAGAAATGAGTTGACCCATATAACTTCTTACACAGAGCATGTGCTCAATAAATGTTAACTTTAGCTATAAATAGGACAACAACAATCTATTACAAATTTTGATTTTTTTAAGAGACAAATATTCAAAATGCTTTCTGCTTACTATATACTACTTCAAAGCAACCGTGAATGAAACCTACTAGGCACTGCTGTATTCCAAGGTAATAAAGTTCACGGTACTTTATTTAAGTTTGAATAAAGTACATTATCAAAAAATACCAATGAATAAATGTATGACAAATCCTAGTTGAGTCACACTGTCTCTAAATCTTTCTGTTGACTAAAACAGTTCTCCAGAGCTGAATCTTGCCCTACTATATAATTGCAAGAATTTAGCTTTTAAGTCTCTTTCCCACTTTATTTCACCCAACCATGGCTCCTGGGGGCACGCAAGAGACCCCAGCAGTTGGCTTCCTGTGACCCAGCTCTGGCCTATGGCACTCCCAGCACACTTCACCAGCTAGCAGGCCATAACTACAATCTTTCCAACAAGCTGTGATATCAGCCTTGAGCGGGGAGATCCATTTAGTCCCATGCTTGCGTACTCTCCCTCAGCCCTAGAAGTAGTAACTGCTCCCTACATTTGTTATTGCAATACTCATTAGAGCCTCATTTACAGCTTTCAGTAATTAAACACCTTTTACTAGTTAACAATTTTCCGTATTAAGTTTTTCTTTGTTCAAATTATCAGTGTGGTTTCTCTCTCCTAACTAGACCCTGACTCATACACTGGTGCTTTCTCCACCCTCACCCCAACATTCTTTGGGGTAGGGGGCAGCAAGATTTTAAGGACTTTAGAGTTTACAACCAGTGTTTGATTTTTTCACCTAGGAGAACACAAATAGGTGGTTTTAAATATCACATTTAACAGCTACAAAGGGATCCTGTTTTTCATACACCATAAATAAATAAAAGCTTATTAGATTATGTTAATCTTTTATTTTAAAGAGATGAATGGCTGGCTTGATATCTTTTTTAATTCTTAGAAATTGGGACAAGTTAAAATATGTTTTATTTCATGGTTATCAACATTTCAGAAATGGACAGGTAATAGAGAACTACATGGTACAGTATATTTACCCTTGGTTTCACTTATCAGAAGAATTGTACTGAAGAAATGCTTTATTTCTAAACCAAACACTCTTAAGTCGGAGTCACCAATTTAAAAATAAATAATAAAAATATAAACAACAAAAATTTGTGATTTTAAACAAAGTCTTTCTGCAATAAATCAAGACAGTAAAATGATCTTTTGTATTTGTATCCGAAGCACACATTCCTCATTGAACAGAAATTTCTTGAACGTCTACTATGCGGCCAACAATAGGTCAAGTGTGGAGGATGCAAAGACAAATAAGCTAGGGTGTTACCTATTTCTTTAAGTATGTGGAAAAGAGAGTATTCAGTTTAACAACTGCTAAAGTATTTTTAATTTTCCCATCTATAATCAGCTGAAAAAGATAATGCAGGAACACCTAGGGCGGAAAAAATACCAAAAGTTCAACAATTGTTGCAATTTAAATATTAACATGCTTAGAAAATACAGGCAAAGTGTGAAAAGGGCCAAGATTCCTTCCCTCAGTGAGCTCACAGCATAGTCGAATGTACAAATATGTACCCCCTAAATTAAGACACAACACAACTGAGTAATGCTAAAAGTACTTGGATGCAAAGGAAAGAGAGTAATGAGTTCTGACTCAGGGAGGCTAAGAACACTTGGCTGGGTCTTGAAGAATGAGTAGATCAGGCAAAGGCGACAAAAGATCATCCTGTGCAAAAGCAAAGATTCAGGAAGAGATTCGGAGGGTTTGGGCCAAGTTAAATTTACAGGTATGTTTGGAATCTAGAGTATGGACGGGTGCAGAAGAAAAGCCAACAGTAAACTGTGGCTTAAATGATTTTAAAGGGTGATCATATATCCACTCAAAGGCTCAAGAAAGCAGCACACTAGCATCAGGAGGCATTTATACCCTAATAGCATCCCTTCCTCCTCCCTCTTCACAAGCTGCTGAAGAGAAAAATCCAGCTACTAGTGCTGATGAATAAGATTCACTCACACCTGAACAAATAGTAAGCTGAGTACTTACACGTTAGATTTAGGGTGATCCTCAGTACATATCACTCATGATTTAAAGAAACAGAACTCTCAGACATAGTGCCCTGTCCCTACCCCCATTCAGAATCCAAGTATTGTTCTCTATGGGCAAACCAAGAGGGAAGGTAAAAAGCTATCAGAAATTTTTGGCCACAGTGTGTAGTCCTGTCAGAGCAGACACAAGAACTTCCTTCTCTTAATGCAAATTACCTATTTCAAGTTTTAAAGTTTTAGTCAAACAATTAGGATTGAGGAAACTGTAGCATACATTCAATTTGCCTGTAGGCTACTTTCTGCTGTATGATCAAACAAGGAACAGGACGAACAATCCCTAACAATGGCTGGATTTTTGCTGCCAGAACATTTAATGATACATTATTAGAGGAATCTCTGCTTTTGCAGACAGAACAACTGAGGCACTAGCTTGCATTTATGTAATGCCTCTCTCTCTGGCGACTTAAGATGCTTCACCAGTTTTATCTTCTTTAATCCTCATTCAATCCCCATAAAAGTCATAGCTGGGAATAATACTACATTTTACTGAAGGCAAAACTCAAGTACCAAAAAAGAAAAAGTCTGACGAATACAGGCCTAGAACCCAGCCACTAACCAGACACTGACAATACTTCTACATTATTCTTACAGGAACAGTGAGACTGACAAAGCAGAGTGGGGTAAGAAGCCCTCAGGCAGGGATAGGAATGGAGTGTGACAGCAGAGTAGGGCCACATACAGCAGGCATCAAAAGCCTCTTAGTTCTTACAGATCCCAGAACTTCCAGGCAATTGAGATTCCCCACCATGGATTGTGGCAGGTCTAGCAATAAGCCGCACTAATTGACAGTGATGACAAAAAAGGGCCCCATGCTCAGAAATGTTGGAGAAGCACTAGGTTAAATAGAACTAGCTCCTTTTCTGCAGGATTCCTCAGGACCTTTAACTACTAATGTACACTGGCAACTCAACATGCAAAAAAGATTACACAGCATTTCCAAAACTTATTTCACAGCCCGACTACCACCCCCTCACAGTCCAGAAGAATATACTAACATCTACACCAGTGCCTGACAGAACGGTAAAGTTCAATGACAGAATTTAAACCCAGACAGATACATCATTAGGAGGTGAGATTATCAGCAGTGACTTACACCCATTACCAATTAACCTTTATGTAAGAGAAACAAGGACGAACTCATTACCTTTTGGTGGTCGTCTCTGTAGCACTCCTGCTGTACCATTTCTAAAAGGTTTAGAGCCAACTGCTGCCTAGAGGGTCCTTGTTCGTCTGGGGATATACAGTCTTTCAAGGCAGTAGAAGATAATATCTGCAGAACTGGCATCACTAGCAGCAAGGAGGACTTTGGGATTTTCTGACCCTCAGCAGAAGAGAGAAGCTTCAGAGCTAGTTATCAAAACAACAATTTACAGTTTTTAAAATTAATACTACAGTCAGGGCTTCCCTGGTGGCGCAGTGGTTGAGAGTCTGCCTGCCGATGCAGGGGACACCGGTTCGTGCCCCAGTCCGGGAGGATCCCATATGCCGCGGAGCGGCTGGGCCCGTGAGCCATGGCGGCTGAGCCTGCGCGTCCAGAGCCTGTGCTCCGCAACGGGAGAGGCCACAACAGTGAGAGGCCACGTACCGCAAAAAAAAAAAAAAAAAAAAAAAAAAAAAAATTAATACTACAGTCAAATAAAATGCTATTTTGTTTAAGAGTCATATGCAAAAAGTTTTCTTGCCCCTTTACAACTGGGTCAGACACATAACTAAGATGATAAACCTTATCCTTTTAGAAATAAAAAGAACGAAACAATTAACTCTTAGCTAAAATAAGCTGTTAATGTATATAATTGAAAACTTGATGATACTCTTAGAGATAATGCATATCATATGTCAAAAAGTAAAATCAACTCTTTTTTAGGTCAATGTGAATTCCTTTAAAATTCAACTTTCGCCTTTATGTCCTGTCAGATCCTCTGCCCTCCACAGAACCAAGAGACCGCAGAGCTCCTGATCTATGGATAACAAGATCAACATGTGTGCTTCTCTTACAAACCCAGCTGAGAATTGTATCAAGAGATGCAGAAGTAAACAATGTGAAGCAGGGCTGTCCTTCAGCTGTAACTGCTAAGAAGCAAATCAGCAAAGTCTCAAAGTCCATAACCAGCATAACAATCCAACACATTTTTATAGTATTGTTTTTAACATGGAAACTCAACTTACACATCAGAAACATACACACATGTACAATCACTTACTTACATGTATAGTCTCCCCTAGACTACAAATAGAATGAATTAAAGAATAAATATACTTTCTTTTCAGTCATTGAATCAACGCTGATTTACTGAAAGATGTTATTTGTAGGCTGCAGAGCAAGATTATTAAAGTAATCAACTAACTTCCCCACTACACTAAAAAAATTCAAATTCAAAAAGTTAAAAAAAAATTTTTTTTTAATTAAAATTTTTTTGATTTTTATTTTTTGCCGGTGCCATGCAGCATACGGGATCTTATTTCCCTGACCAGGGATGGAAACCGCACTCCCTGCAGTAGAAGCATGAAGTCTTAACCACTGGACCACCAGGGAAGTCCAATATTATATTTTGAATCACTTGGAAGTCAAACCTGAACATGGCATGAAATACAAACCCCTGCTGCTGACACAACTAATTTACATTTTTTGCCTAAATGGTAGTCTTAATCCATAACTGTCAGTTATTATGAAAATCCATTATCTTTAACAAAACATGAAATTCATATAATACAAACATTTCTATATTCTTTACTATGGATCTTCCAGGCATTTTTATATATTGCTATTTACAATCAAGGCCAGTGTTAATAATTAAGAAGCATAACATTGTATCAGTGCTGTGCATTTTTTAAATTTGAAATAACAAATATTCTCTTGGTTATTATATTTCTTTGAACACTCTTCCCCAATCTACTAAACAATAGTTTTTCATTACTTTTCAACATGACATACTGGCTCAATAGTTTTCAATATGGTTTATTCAATCTATCTAAAGTAACTTCAAATCAGAGACACTGGTTTACAAAAGAAAAAGTCTTCTATCCAACAAATAATAAAAGTATTGGAGTGTTTGATCCTGTATCAGCCTATCATACATGAGCCACAATAAAGGACTATAGCTTCAGAATTAGGAATGTGGTTTCTCTGTGGCTTTGAATTTTTTTTTTTATTGGTCAAAAACCAAAATCCATTTAAATGAAATATCCAGAAGAGACACATTTAGAGACAGAAAGCACATTAGTGTTTTGGGGGGCTGAGGGTGGGAATGAGGATTAACTGTAAATGGGCACAAGAAATTTGGAGGAGGGAGGTTGATGCAAATGTTCTAAAACTAGACTGTGGTGCTGGTTGCACAACTCTAAATTTACTCTAAAAAGCACGTCATTGTACACTTAAAAATGGTGAACTATGGGCTTCCCTGGTGGCGCAGTGGTTGAGAGTCCGCCTGCCGATGCTGGGGACACGGGTTCGTGCCCCGGTCCGGGAGGATCCCACATGCCGCGGAGCGGCTGGGCCCGTGAGCCATGGCCGCTGAGCCTGCGCGTCCGGAGCCCGTGCTCCCCAACGGGAGAAGCCACCACAGTGAGGCCCACGTACCACAAAAAAATAATAATAATAACAAAACTATGGCTGTCAGAAGTAACTGGACTGGAAAATTATACCTATAGGAGGATGTCATGCGTACTGCTGTAAGGGAAAAAAATGCAAAAGCAGTTCAGAAAGGGCCTAGGGAGGAGGGTACAAAGAGCATAGGGCCAATAAGCAAAAACAGGGTAGGAATCAAAGCCCTTAAAACAGCCAAGGGTCCCCTCCATGTGCTAAAGCCATTTCCAAGACAGACTGTAAATGAAAGAGCAATTCACCCTCAAAATCATGATGAATTAAAATGCCAAGAAGAATGAGCTACACAATCGGTGTTTACCTCAAGCACCTTTTAAAAATGAAAGTGGCAGTGTATCAATATATCATGGCATCATAACATATACATCATAATTTAGACAAGATCCTACATTACTACATGGATTATGGTGGCCCAACTAAAGCAAGGCAACATTAATGTAAAAGCCACATTTGAAAAGTGTGACTTGTTTGCCAATCTGCCAGACCTGGCACCTTGATTCTTTACCACATTATTCATAAACAGAACTTCTTTTGCCTCCCTTTAGCCCCATTCCTCACTTTTCTTTAAGTCAATACTGGATAGTCAGAAGAATGTTATCTTTCATTTGTTCTAGGCAGGTTAACAGAATAATCATACATTAAGTCTCGTTCAATGTGGCACCAGTTTTGAATAGTACAGGTATATAGAGTTTTAAAAACAAATGCAAATGCTAAACACTTATTTTCCTTCAAGGGTTTTATGCTATTGATTCTGTTTGCTATACAAGTGTGAATAAGCTGGCATGCCCTTCAAAATATTTACCGATGTCACTGCTATATGATTTAGATCATAATCTCCTAACGAACATCTGAGATACTTGGTAAATTATGGTATATGGAACCTTGCACAAAACACATTTTTGGATAAGAAAAAGAAAGTGCTATTTGATAATGACTAAACAGAAAAATTCCAGAATGGACACTCAAAGTATACAGGACTTTTTTCCTACAGCACAGCAAGAAATGTAGTTCAAGTGACTCCTGTCAATACTTGTGTTATACTTACGTTTTACTCTTGGGAGTGTATTTTTATTTACCTAGACTTAGGATTGGCTTCTGCTGACTTGCCGGAGTCTGTAGTAGTAGTAAAGCTATTCCAATTATGACGGGTTCAACAGGAAAATCCTTAAAAAAAGTAAAGAGTTGAAGTAGTTTCCAGAGCCAAGGCTTTATAACATGTATCCAGGAAGAGTAAATTTAACATGAAATATTATAAACCTATCGTACAAAATTATTTACAGTAAGCCTGCTGTATTAAAGGAAGAACTGTTGAAGGCCACAGCAGTCACATATAAATTCAAAATGTTATATCTGGCCAAAAAGCAATAAACTATAAACCAAATTAATTCAGAGGAAAAACTTGTAGTCTTCAAAACAGTCAATCTTTGCAAACCACTGAACACTACCTGAAATACTTAAGAATATTTCATTTCTGGAAAGTAGCTCAATTGTCTGCTTACCTGATACAGACATGATTCGTCTATACAACTTACATAATAAATTATACTTAACAAATTTTAATAAATCTTGTTATTATAATAAAAGAAACAGTACCATAAATCTTGTTATTATAATAAAAGAAACAGAAGCAGAGATTATTTTTAAATTATAGTAATTTATTAAGTATATTTAAATATAGCAAAGCAATAACGATAGAAACTTAAAGTCATTAATTTTACCAAGTAAAATGAAATGAAAAAGTAAAAAGGATATGTACATTAAGTTCTTATAAATAAAATGCAAGTGGCATAAGAGAGTACTTGAAGTTTCTAAATAAAGAAAATTATAACGTATTACGGAACTAAAGAACAAGGGCCCAGCACACTTTGCTAAAATTATTTCATTCTGAAATTTACAGAAGTGCCTGCAGAGCAGAAATACCTATGAATCATGAGGACAGGCAAAATATTAAAATTAAAAAAAAACACAAAAATAAAAAAAGAAAATGTGAGGTAGACTCGTGTTAGACACTAGAGAGAAAACAACTCAGTCTGACACACAGAAGTTACAATTTTGGAAATGCTATCAACTCTGGGACAAATTAATAAATGCATATCTACATCTTAGTTATACCATCTGAAAGTGAAATTAAACTGCAAAATCTTCTAATGTGCTCATTTATGGACTTTTAACAACTAGCAAAAGAAGAAAATGTATGGATTTTTTTAATGGAATATATTCCAATTTGTGTCTTGGGGCCTATATGTGTTCACTGTTTTGAAATATAGTTGAGAATAATGAAGCAACTGAGGACAACAAATGCATTTTGAAACCAATATATTTCCAGTACACACCATCACACCATTCTTTCCCATTTTGCTCAATTGCATTTAAATTCTGCATGTTCATTTAAAAAAAAAAAACCAACCAAATAAGCAAAACTCAGCAAGGTCATTTACATTTCAAATTTACTAGCTACCAAGAGGATCAGAGACAAATCAAAGTATTACTTGTACTAATGCTATCATTGGAAAGCCTTTTTCACACAGGCTGTCACTGGAAGGGCCACAAAGTAGCTTCTCAGGGTTCTGAAATGCACTAGAAGCATTTTAAAGGAATGCAACTTAAAGGTATGAAGGCATAAATGAAAATGACATCCTCCAGGAAGAGTGAGACTGGCCTGTTCAGAACAGAGGGTGAAAGGAAAAGAACTAAGGATCAAGACACCAAAAATAAGGAAAAGTAATGGTAAATGATTAAACTAGATGATCTTAAATTGCTTACAATTCTGAGAGGTTACAAGTTTTTTGTGTGATTGATTGATGTTTAATGAGCACCTGAGAATGGTATCATTTAATGAGCTCTTTTAATAAAAGCCTGTGTTGGACATCTCGTGTGCTACTTCAAATACTACAGCTATTGCTGTAGTGACTCTTGCTTCCTGTCCCAGGCCACTGAGAGATCCAGAAGTACAGGGAAGTTAAAGCCCCATAGGCTTGACAAATTAGCAATAGAAGCCCAGGGACAAATGCTTCCCCCTTTATTCTGGATCCTTCTGGCAGGTTCTGAGACATATTCCATAATACTTCTCAGCATATTCTGTGAAATTGAGCAACTGATTGCATATAGCAGTGGCCAACTTGATAATACTTGCCTTGTCTCTCTCATATTTCACTCTTCTTGTCTCTCTCCCACCTGCTTCCTGAGATCACACCTGCAAATGAACTCCTGTTGCATAAGTCTTTGCATTTGTGGAAACCCAGGTTCTGCTTTTGCCTTTAGGGAAACTTAGGGTCTACTTCTGGGGGAACCAAGGCTAACTTAGAGCCTACCTGAAGAAGTAAAGAAATGCCTTTATACTGGACCACAGATGTCACAGGAGTCTTAATGACAGCAAGCCCTTGGAGTCCACACTACATCAGAGGTACATCAGAGGTATCGGAAGCAGACACAACAAAGATGGCAGCCCAGCTCACACAATCACATGTCATGGCTTTTCTACCTACACGGTCCTCTGCTCAGAGTTGACTGATCCAAGCTGGGCCAATCAGATCATTTTTCCTAGGAATCTGACAACGTAAACTGAGATACACAGTGAAGAAAGGTGGGTGGGATTGAATCATCTGGTAGCAATGTGTTAGGGAACAGAGGTCCCCAGCCTTACTAAAGCGGGGATGTATAGCGCTCTTCACTTTGAGAGCTACCTAGTCTCCTTACAATCAGTATCATTTTCTGTTAAGAGTACATATTTTTTGGGACTTCCCTGGTGGCACAGTGGTTAAGAATCTGCCTGCCAGTGCAAGGGACACAGGTTCCATCCCTGGTCCGGGAAGATCCCACATGCTGTGGAGCAACTAAGCCTGTGCGCCACAACTACTGAGCCCGCGTGCCACGACTACTGAAGCCCGCACACCTAGAGCCCATGCTCTGCAACAAGAGAAGCCACTGCAATGAGAAGCCCGTGCACTGCAACGAAGTGTAGCCCCCGCTCACTGCAACTGGAGAAAGCCCACATGCAGCAACAAAGACCTAATGTGGCCAAAAAATAAAAAGTAAATAAATAAATAAATTTATAGGAAAAAATAGTACATATATTTTGCTTGAAGTAGAAAGCACCTCAAGTTATCATTTCAATAAGGCTAAAAATAGTTCAACTAAGACCAAATACACTGAAACTAAAGTAGCCTAATAAATACATCCATTTTCAGTGTACAATGAAATAAATCCAATATAAAAGCAGAAAAAGAACAAAGGGGAAAAGAAAAGTTAATGTAATATTTGAATTGAATATCTAGCTGATAAACTCAGTGATATAGGAATACAGGTATAGCCTCTAAATAAGATTGATTTATTCTACTTCATTTTGTTTCAAATTAAAGGGTATACAGACCTAAAGGATATATGTTTGCAAATTAATTTTCCTAGGCTTTTTTTTTACACCTCAGAAACACTGGGACAGAGTTGGGGGACAGGAAATTTCATAACACAAGTATTTTAACAGTTCTACATATTTTTTACTTACTTCTAAAATCGTTAACATATTGGGCAGAAGGAAGACACAATATAAATATGACCTTCTCCCACAGATACCATTTCATTGCTCTAAATAAAAGTATTCTGTAATTCTACATTAAAATCAATAATATTTGGGGGACTTCCCTGGTGGTGCAGTGGTTAAGAATCCGCCTGCCAATGCAGGGGGCATGGGTTCAATCCCTGGTCCAGGAAGATCTCACATGCTGCAGAGGAACTAAGCTCATGCGCCACAACTACTGAGCCTGAGCTCTAGAGCCGGCGCACCGCAACTATGGAAGTCCACGCGCCTAGAGCCCGTGCTCCCCAGCAAGAGAAGCCACCACAATGAGAAGCCCTCACACCGCAACGAAGAGCAGCCCCTGCTCACCACAACTAGAGAAAGCCTTCACACAGCGACAAAGACCCAACACAGCCAAAAATAAAAATAAATAAAAATCAATAATATTTTTAAAGCTGGACTCAAGAGCCAACTTAAAAAGATTCCTACTGGCCAAAAACAGGACAATTTGAATTTTAATGCAGACATTATCTGTAAGAAATTGAATTGCATCAAATATGTTTAAATCTATAAGTTCACAATACTTTTAGAAATTAGTAAGTAAAGGGAAAGA